TCAACTGGAGATGTTTTTGATGTAATGAATCACAGATTTGGTTTGGTGTTAGACTCAGGGGTCTATAGAGCTCAAGGGAGTTATTAAGGCCGCCACAAGTGCTTCAAACCCTATCAGCAAGTATTCTAATATATATATTATATATACGTGTGTAAATCACGAAAAATAAACACGTGATTAAAAATGTGACAGTGTCAGACCACGGAAGAAAATTGAAACAGGAATTTCCTTAAGTACTTTCGTATATTAATACATCTTCAGAAGGAGTTGTATCTTTACAACTCATCAATACATCTTTACTCCTTCTGAAAATGTATTAATATACGAAAGTACTTAAGGAAATTCCTGTTTCAATTTTCCTCCGTGATCTGACACTGTCATATTATATATATATATATATATATATATATATATATATATATATATATATATATATATATATATATATATATATATATATGTCGTACCTAGTAGCCAGAACGCGCTTCTCAGCCTACTATGCAAGGCCCGATTTTGCCTAATAAGCCAAGTTTTCATGAACTAATGCTTTTTCGACTACTTAACCTACCTAACCTAACCTAACCTAACTTTTTTCGGCTATCTAACCTAACCTAACCTATAAAGATAGGTTAGGTTAGGTTAGGTAGGGTTGGTTAGGTTCGGTCATATATCTACGTTAATTTTAACTCCATTAAAAAAAAATTGACCTCAAACATAATGAAATGGGTAGCTTTATCATTTCATAAGAAAAAAAATAGGGAAAATATATTAAATCAGGAAAACTTGGCTTATTAGGCAAATCGGGCCTTGCATAGTAGGCTGAGAAGTGCGTTCTGGCTACTAGGTACGACATATATATATATATATATATTTATATATATATTGCGGTTTCCAAAATTCTTATGTTTAAGAAGATTAGTCCAATCCAGGACAACCTTGTGTTGATTCCGGGGGTCAAGGTCCCCGCCGCCCGGTCTCTGACCAGACCTCCTAAAGTAAACTGTCAGTATATATTTTTACACCCATAAATGGGGTTGACCTCTCATTGTATGTATACCTTCTTGCAAGACTACCTGCTGTTAGGGTCGAGCGGGTTGTACAGATTAAGATCCCTTCAAGTATATGAGCCTATTTAATTAAACCTCATACAGGGTCGGATTAGCATGTTGGTGGCCCTTGTACCGGTACTATGAGGCTTCCCAGTAATGTTTTATACAAGAAAACAAGGTTAAAGGAAAATTAAATATATTTTTTATAAGGCTAACTCTAGTTAAAATTCTGTTGTCAATAAATTATCCAACGAAGTTCCTGATGTGAAGAATTTCGGGCACAAATTCAGGCTCGATGTCATTGGAGTAAAATGTCCGAAACGTGGCTGGTGCCACGTTTTATCATTCGAAGACATTTCCACTTGTCTTCATCATTCGAAGACATTTCCTGGTCGAATTCGGAAATTCGATCAGGAAACCAAATTATGAATGAACCTTTTTATATGCTTCAATACGACATGCTAAAAACCCATGAAATGCAACTACAAGCATTCTACTCGAGAAGGCCCCTGGGTTGCAGCCTATAAAGGCCGTGCATTAATCAGGCCTTGCCTCAATATTTATATTTTCTTCGGGTACGCCTATGATTACGACATCGTTATTAACATTCAAAAGGATGGCTATAGTGACGCATTATTATTTTTTAGTTACTGAGAGAAATCTCAGTTTCTATACAATTTTCTTTGATGACGATAAGTTTCTTACCGTTTGGGGGAACTTGACGCATTTGGTCAGCCGGACTAACTGGCGGTTTCGATGCTTTGTGGCGCAGTAGGGTCAGCCGAGAGGTCTTGGGTTCGATTCCCGCCGTAAGACAGGAGCGTTTGGGTAACATATCCTTTCACTTCGTGCCTCTGTTCACCAAGAAGTAAATAGGGAGCTGGGAGTTAGGCAACTGCCAAGGGTCATATCCTGGGGTTGGTCGGTAGTTTGGGTATCTCGATAAGCCTAGCAGACTTTCTGTTATGGTAAACAAAGTTCTTGGCGGGCTGTGTGCTGGGGAGCCAGGGCGGTGGGTAACCAACACCCAGGCTTATATTCATAGAGTTGCTTGATTCGCAACAGGTACTCTAAAGTAATTATACCCTTGGCGCAGTGGTAGCTCGCTTGTCTCACGCTTCGCGAGCAATTCAGGGGTATTAAGTAGGGTAAAATTTGAGATAAAGCATGGAAGGAAAAGCTGTAAGCCTGGTAGCAAGAGTCAAGTCGTCTGCTTGCAAATACAAAACAACGTTAATTTTTCAACCGGGATCCTTCCTATTGTAAGAATGATTTAATTATCTTAGAAGGTTCGAGTCTACACATTGCATGACAAAAATGATTTCCGATGAAACACTTAGAATATGAAATAAAATATTTTGAAAAAATAATAAAAAATAGTATCATTGAAATATATGTAAAAAAAAATTCCAATAAAAGCCTCGTTATCCATTCTGGTTCGTGGGACTACG